GACCCTCACTTGCTGACCTTTGTTTTACCAAATAGCTCTTAATTCTACGGTTTGACTTATTTCCCTACCAGCACCCATACTGGGTTTGCAGGAGGTTAGTAATGCTCTGCATGTTGCAAAGCTGCAGCTACTGAGGCCTGGAGTTTTAAAAACCTCACACTCCAAAGCACATGTGCATAATTTGTACATAGAGTTTTCATGCAGAGTCACAGTAACTGGATGTTAAAGGGACAGTGAGACACCCTCCGTTTCATGTGCAGTCATGGTCACAGAACACACTGCTTATGCACATAGAGTCTTGCCCACACGCTGTACCAGCAGCCATGCTTGTTGTCTTGCTTTTACATTTATATGTACACACACTAGCAGACTTATCCAGCGTTAACTGGGTCAAGGCCAGTGCAAGGAGGGGGACACAGGCCTCTAGCTACACTACCCAGGCTGACCCAGAGCTAGAGGGAGGTTGGCCCAGGATTTGGGGTTGGAGAGGAGGGCCAGCCCAGGGCCAGGGGTTGAGGGAGAGGGTCAGCCCAGGGCTGTGGGTGGGGGGAGGGAGTGTGGGTCAGAGCCAAGGGTGGGGGGGGGGGGTGGGAGCCATTATGCTGGCCTCCCCCTCCCCGCCCCCCCAGAACAGCCAGGAGTGGAGAAGGGGGGGCAGTGTGGGCTCCCCTGCCACATCCACACTGGGTGGCCCAGCAGTGCAGTTGAGGGGAGCCACCAGTGGGTCCTGTGGAGGACATCCAGGGCTACACTGCTGGCCCCAGTTGTGCTCCTGGGGAGTGGCACAGTGATTGGGCCAAGGGGGCTTTCCTCCCCCAGGCCAGCAGGGGAGTACAGAGAGGCTACTTACCTGGGCCCGTGGCAGGAAAATGGTAAGCCTCATCTCCAGCTGGACACTTGGTTAGTGGTGTGGCCACCCCCAGTGGTGGCTCTACAGTATAGCTGTCTCCTGCACTTGTTGCCCCCAGTGCTGACTGTGAGGATCACGGCTCTCCTCTCTACCCTTCCCTTTCCATGTGATGGAAAACAATCAAATTCTAGGCACATCCCATTTTCCTGGCACAGTCAAACCCTGACCCTGCTTTGAATTAGGATAAGAGGAAGCTGCCTATCAAATTTGGAAGTTCTAGCTCTTCCCATTTAGGAAGAACTCTTGAACAGACAGGCTCACAGACATACAGATAGACAGATTAACAGACAGATGCACAAATCTCTAATATATACACATATTAGAAGATTTACCCAGTATTACTTGGTCCTGAACTCAATTAAATTTTTGTTTTTTGGAAAATAAAATGAAAATGTCCATGCTTTATTTAAATCATTGCTCTGGGGTGGGGTTGGGGGTGAGGGAGTCAGTATGCAGGCTGCCCTGGGGAGAGAGGACTACCCTAGCCCTCTCTCACCACAGCAGCGGGGGGGGCCAGGTGAGACGCACCTCTCCATGGCCACCGCAGCTCCTGTGAGCACAGCCAGGAGAGGGGTGCATGTCCCCCAGCTGGGGCAAGTCTAGATCTCTGTCCCCTGCGCTCCCCAGCCACAGTGAGGAATGCAGCAAACTGTGCACTTTCCCCTCACTCCCTGATGAGAACAGCCAGCAATGTTCCCCTACAAATTAGGGGGGGAGCTTCAGTTCCCACACCTCACCCTCCTTAAAAGGTGTATGTGGGTTGGGAGGCTCAGAGCTGGGGCAATACAAGATGAAGTGGAGGGCACACACCCAGCCAGCCCCTTTCTTCTTCCTGGTGAGTCTCTCTCTTTTCTGTATGGTTTTATGAGAAGCAATCCCATTCTGGGCACATCCCATTTTTCTGGCACAACTAAATGCTTATCTTGCTTTAAGGAGGAAGGAGAAAATTTGTTCCTCTTGGTTTCTGAGGACAGGACAAGGAGTAATGGGCTTAAAGTGCAGCAGGGGAGGTTTAGATTGGACATCAGGAAAAAATTCCTAACTGTCAGGGTGGTCAAATATTGGAATAAATTGCCAAGGGAGGTGGTGGAATCTCCCTCTCTGGAGATATTTAAGAACAGGTTAGATAGACATCTGTCAGGGATGGTGTAGGTGGAGCTTGGTCCTGCCTTGAGGGCGGGGGGCTGGACTCGATGACCTCTTGAGGTCCCTTCCAGTCCTATTATTCTATGATTCTATGAAGGAATAGTAAGAGGAAGCTATATACCCAATTTGGTGGTCCTCACGCTTACCATTTAGGAGGAGTTCTTGAACAAATGGACAAACGCTCTCAAATATATAGTAGATTACATTTCACACTGACTTTTATCTTTGTGTTCCTGTTGGCCAAGCAACCACACTTTCCTCTTTCATTTCCCCTTATAGAGGGCTGGATTCTACTCCCCGTGGCCAAAGTGGATCTTAACATTATTATGTCCAGTAACATACATCTAGGCACTTGGTTTTCTTCGACACCTTCTTATCATAGAAGTCATTGATAGCTGTTTTCACGTATCTAAAAGGGTATCATGAGGAGGGAGAAAACGTGTTCATCTTGGCCTCTGAGGATAGAACAAGAAGCAATGGGCTTAAACTGCAGCAAGGGAGGTTTAGGTTGGACATTAGGAAAAAATTCCTAACTGTCAGGGTAGTCAAACACTGGAATAAATTGCCCAGGGAAGTTGTGGAATCCCCAGCTCTGGAGATATTTAAGAGTAGGTTAGATAAATATCTATCAGGGATGGTCTAGACAGTATTTGGTCCTGCCATGAGGGCAGGGGACTGGACTCGATGACCTCTCGAGGTCCCTTTCAGACCTAGTAGTCTATGATTTGCAACAGTGGTTCTCAATCAGGGGTACAGATACCCCTGGGGGTGCACCCAGATCTTCCAGGAGTTACATTAACTCATCTACATACTTGCCTAATTTTACAATAGGTGACATAAAAAACACCTATAAGTTATATTCCAGTTGATTTATTTTGTAATTCTATGATAAAAAATGAGAAAGGGAGCAATTTTTCCATGATAGCGTGCTGTGACACTTGTGTATTTTTATGTCTGATTTAAGCAAGAACTTTTTAAGTGAGGAGGAACTTAGGAGGACACAAGACCAATCAGACTTCTGAGGGGGACACAGTAGACTGGAAAGCTTGAGAGTCACCTACTTACAACCATCAAAAAAAGAACGTAACAAGTTAAGACAATTCAGTTCATAAGCAACACCCCTGGCCCAAAAAAATGAACAGCACAAGTTACCCCAAGAGAACTTTTCCCTCTGCTCTTGTTTTTGAATCATTCCCTGATTCCTTATACCTCCCCCTGCTCCCTAGTGTGATGTCAGTGACAGGGCCAGCTCGAGCCATTTCTGTCCCCCGGGCAGCGGGCGCGTGAAGCATGCGTGGCTCCGCCCCTGGGCGCACGGCGCATGCATGGCCCCGCCCCCTGGTGTGCTGCGCACCTTACAGCTGCAAGCGGGTGCACAGCGCCTGTTTGCAGCTCTAAGGGGCGCTGCGCAGCCCCCAGGCCCGGACACGTAGCGGCTGATGGCAGCTGTAAGGGGAGCCGCACGGCCCCCAGCCCCGGGCGCGTGGCGCTTGATGGCAGCTGCCCATCTAGCCTCCCATTAATCCAGCCTCGGTCTGTGCACACTGAGCTTAATTCAAACTCGGTGTAGGAAGCAGGTGCAGCTCTACTGACATCATTGGAATTGCATCCATTTGCAGCAGATCTAAAGTGGGCCCATTGGGAAAGGGAGTTCATTCCGCAAAGCAGCTGGAGTGAAAGAGGTGTAGGGGGAGTGTCTATTTTCTGTTCAACAAATGACATTTGCAAATATTTGATTGTGAAAAGAATCAAGAACGGCAAAGCTCATTCTCCATTCACACTGAGCTAAGTTACACACACACTGGTCAGCCTACAGAGTTGTCTTTACATTTTTCAGTTCTACCTCCAGTGAGAAGGTAAAGAGAGACACCCAGTGGTAAAGTACATGATCATTCTTCTCTTTTCTTCATGGCCTTGCCCATTTCTATCTAGGAACCAGTGAGGAACATTTCAATGTATATGAAAGCCAACAAACCCCTTAGTATCTGGGAAAATAATGCCACAGCTATATTTACCTTGGATAAATCATTTTCACTACATTGTGTCTTCATTTTTCCTTCTCTTAAACAGGTTCATAATTATGCCCTATCTAGCCTAGCCCTAGGAGTGGCCTGAGGCCGGCTGCGGCAGCTGGCACCCCAGGCGGAAGGCGCAATCGGCGCCCCCGCCTGCACGGCCGTTAATGGCTGTGACGTAATCACGGGGCGCCTGGGCCAGTGGCGCCCTAGGCAACTGCCTAGTCTGCTTAGGCTCACGGGCCACCCCTGTCTAGCCCTGGTCATTAGTTAATGCATCTTGGAGATGAATCCTAAGTGTTAATAATAAATCATTGTATTATTAATACTGACTCTGTAGCGTTGCTCACATGCATGTTTAGCAATTCTGTGCAACACAACAAATGGAGTAAGCTAGGTCAGTCTTTAACCCAGGGGTAGGGAACTTAAGGCCCGAGGGCCAGATGTAGCCCCTTGCTTGCCTGGATCTGGCCCCCCCCAAGGCTCAGTGCTCCCCCCCAACATTGGGGGGCCTGTGCAGGTGCTCAAACCCCACCCCCACTCCGGAGGGTTGAAGCACACAAAATCTACTAGCCTGCGCCCCCCTAGGCTCTGGTGTGTGAAGAGAATGTGGGGAGTGTCTTTCTCCTTCCCAGTCAGGGGCCATGTCAGTGAGGGTTTATGGCCCCCGACTGATTTTTCTGTAAGTCAGCGGCTCCTGGCCCAGAAAAGGGGATCTTAGGCTGCTACCAAGCAGCTGAGAAACGGGCGCTTCTCCTGCAGAAAGGCAGGGAGCAGCTGCCACAGTTGTGTGGTATAACCAGACACAGTCCTTACCCTGGAGGATGGGACGGAACAGTCAGAATCCTGTTACAAGGGGAACGTGTAAGGAGATGAAGTGGGGGAGGGGGTGTAGAAACAACTTTCAAGTGTTTAGCACGTTTCTTTTCCAGACAAATGTCCCTGTGCTGGAAGTGTACCGTCTGCATCCTCACTCCCATCCTGAGCAGTCTGCTCAACTTTCACCAAGTCAACCTAGAGAGAGAAAGTCAGAATTGTCAGCTGGGCCAGCAGTAATTGCTGATGTGTGCTTTGTTACACTGATACAGAAAATAGGGGGGAGGCTAAACAATCTGTAATAGAGTAAAGCTTTTGGGGGTTTCACTACCAATAGTCTACAGGACTTTTTTTTTTTTAATATCTCCATTAAAAAGACACTTTTTCACATGGGGCAAATTATTAAACAAAATTCACCTTATTTGTCCTGGGTGAAATGTTGCCATTTATGTTGCAGAAAGCTGCATTCGCTGACCACTGTGAGGAACCCATATATGGGTATGGTACTTGGCCTTGGAAAATGTACCAGACACCAGCTAGCCAGAGGAGTAAATCTAGTGGCCAGAAGCCAATATAAAAGATGAGGCCGGTTGGGGTGGGGAGCATACCAGCAAAGTCCCCTGATGCCGGGATGCAGAAGAGGCTAGGATGACCTTAGAGCAGGGTTACTCAACTCGCAAGCCTGGGGCCACATGTAGCCCACAGTGCAGTTTGGGTTTACACCGGGCTCAACATGCAGCCCACGGGTGGGATCCTTTGAACATGGCCTTCACTGGAAACACACTCCACAACGGCAAGGCATCTCCCACGTGGGGTGAGCACTGAAAGACGCAAGCAGACAGGCTGGATGGAACAGACGGGCACAGGGTGTTGGCGTTTCTAGCTCCCAGGGAGGAGGTGCCAGGGCATTGTAAGAAAGAAGCTATTTGCATATACCTTTGCATGTACATACAACCACACTTAAATTGTGGCCCTTCTGTGCTGTGAGTATCGTGGCCCCTGGGGATTCCAAAGTTGAGTAGCCCTGCAGCAGAGCCTACTCAAGACACTCTGTGTTTCATTACATTTCACCAGCCCTAAAAGCCTGAAGTCGATCAGCTTTGTTCCTCTCCTGCAATTACATGCAGAGCGCAGCCAGAGGCTGCATTTTAATAACAGAACAATAATTAGAAAGAAATACCATGAAGGCACTTCACAGACACAGCACTCCTGGCCCCACCATTACATAAGGAACTGTTATTACAGATGGGGATCTTAGGCAGAGAGCTTAAACATGCTGGGAGTCTGTGTCAGAGCTGAGGTCAGGTCTCATTAAGTTCCTAGCTCACAGCCACCAACTCGCACCATCACATTCGACCTCCCTCTGACACTCTACAGGGCTCCTTTGGCCCTCTGACCACACTTTGCTCTCAGCTAATCTCCGTTGTTCAAGCACAGTATAATTATCTAACCAAACGCACTGTACAGGACGTACCAGTCAGCTGCAGAGTGTATGATCTTTCCACAGGGTCCCTTAAAGCAGCATGTGTCACCTGACATGTAAACACGGCTCCCTCCTCTTCCTTTCCAGGCGTGACTCTCAAAACACTCCAGATGGAGTGCAAGCCGCTGGCTCCCATTACCGAGACCGACTGGCAGACTCCCGCTTGCAGCGGCTGCCCGTCTCGGAACCAGTTTACAGTGATCACATTGGGGGAGAAGTTATTGATCCTGCAGTTCAGCCTCAGTTCCTCTCCCACCACGGGGACGGAGGGGTCTGTGGTGATCCAGAGAACTTCAGGGGGCATCCCTGTTCCAAGGGAAAGAACGCCCAGCAGGGCAGATGGTTAGATGAGTCCCCTCCAATGTCAAGAAGAAGGCAGATGGCCAAGGTGCACACCAGTACGAAAGGGGGTAGTGACTTATTCATGGCGAGCACAATGAGACTGTGGGAGCCGACAGCTCATGCAGTGAGACACGGTGCCTGGATTGATTGTTTATGGCACGTTGCAGATCCAACAATGGACAATTTTGGGTGTCACTATCGCTCTGACCTTGGTCCAACGTTATGACCTTGGTCACCTTCTCTCTTCTGGACCTACCACTCATGGGCTCCCTCAGTACTCCAAGCCCCCATCCCATTCCCAGGTTCTCCCACACTGTGCTGAACAAGAGCTCTGACTCAGCCACAGCTACCACACCTCTTCTTCCTCAGCTTCCTCATCCCACACTGTGACCATTACCTGGACTGGTTCCACTTTGCACCACCAGTGAAGGTCAGTGTGTGCAATGGGGTTAAGGCAAGAAAACAGAAGGCCCAGTCAGTAATCACTTTAACAGATGAGGTTAGAAGGGACTCGGCTGCTCCTTAACTTCCTCCACGGTCTTTAAACTGAAGGCCCCATCCCAATTCTAGGTGATCACACCAGTTGTACCTAGAACTGCTTAATGCTCCCCTAGCACTTTCTGTCCTGCTGCCGAGCTGCTCCCAGGATTCCACTGCTAGCTGAGAAGAGTGGGAGGGGGAGCGGAAGGGAGAGGGGAGTGTTGAAGTCAGGGTGTCCCCCCTGCCCCTGTATGCCATCTCTGCAGAGCAGGAGTTGGGGAGAGGGAGACGCACAGTGGAGCTGCTCCAACCTGAAGCATGGATGGTAAGTGACTCAAAGGAGTGCCAGTCTCAAGAGGCAGTGGCCTGGTTCTATGATTTTAGTGGTCGTGTTCTCTCTCTCACACACAAACTTCCTGCCTATGTCCCGTCTCTGCACAGCGGGGGAGAGGAAAGGCAACAGAGCAGGACAGCTTTCCCTGTCTTAAAGAGACAGTGCATGGCTTCTCTCAGAAACATACCCAGCAGCAGCTAACATACACACACAGTCACTGTAACACATACCCAGTCTGTGCCACATTGTGCGTGGCAGGGTGTGTGTCACAGAGACAATCTCCTATCTCTGTGCCCCACACACTCTCCAATTCCTGTGCCATACACACTCATTCTGTGTCAAAGTCAGTCTCTCACACAGTGTCTCTTTCACATTCACACACTCTTGCTCACTCTTTCTCTCTCTATCCCCTAGTCCCACCCCTTCCACCCATGGTCCCACCTTTTCTGCGGGAGCCTGGAGCCGGCCAATGACCACATACCAAAATTGATGAAGCAGCCCCCCCATGTTTAAATTATTGCTTGCCCCATACATTTTATAGATGGAACATGGCTTTGGGCAAATCAGTCCATTTCCCAAGTCAGTGGTAGAACCAGGTAGAGGATGTGGTGAAGGCTGGGACTTTAACAGGGTTCAAAAAAGAGCTAGCTAGATTCATGGAGGTTAGGTCCATCGATGGCTATTAGCCAGGATGGGTGGGAATGGTGTCCCTAGCCTCTGTTTGTCTAGAGATGGGTGACAGGGGAAGGAACACGTGAGGATTACCTGTTGTGATCCCTCCCTCTGGGGCATCTGGTATTGGATACTGAGCTACTGGGCTAGATGGACCATTGGTCTTTCCCAGTATGGCTGTTCTTCTGTTCTTATTAGATCTCCTATGCCAGTGGTCCCCAACCTTTCGTGGCTGCCGGGCACCCTGGGGCGGGGCCGCTCACATGCCGGGCGTCCGGGGTGGGACCACGCATGCGCCACGCGCCCAACCCACGTGCCCTGAGCCCAGGGACGGCATCGCGCATGTGCCGTGTGCCTGGGGCAGGGGCCGCCCACGCGCCCTGCGCCTGGGGCCGGCACCGCGCATGTGCCATGCGCCTGGGGTGGGGGCCGCCCACGCGCCCTGAGCCCAGGGCTGGCACCACGCATGTGCTACACACCGGAGGGGGCGGGGGCCAGCCTAGATGTTTCGGTGGGCGCACATAAATGCCCCGGCGGGCGCCATGGTGCCCGCAGGCACTGCGTTGGGGACCACTGTCCTATGCTCTGTACTCAGGCCAATACAGGCGACCCCCAACTTGCGACCATCTGATCTACGACACCACCACCACCACCACCCCCCGCATTTATGGCCACCCTACTCTGGGAGCTGCGGGGCTGCCTACCACCCGGCCCAGCCCCCGGCCGGCTCAAGGTGACATTCACACCGCACAGCTGCCTACTGCCCACAGAGCCCCCTGGATCCAGGAGACTACAACTCCCAGGAGGCAAAGCGGGCCAGGAACGGAACCCCTGTTCATAACATTGCCCCTATGGGCAATAAGGGTTCGAGTTACAACGGCCCGACTTACGACGGTTCTCCAGGAACCAATTAGATCGTAAGTGCGGGGGTTGCCTGTATATCACTCTGCCTCTCAAATCTTGAAATTTAACCCTCCTAATCTTTGATACCGCATAGGGTAAATCCACTGAACCTTTCCAGGGTGGCTCTATTTGTAGCAATGGGCTTACGGCGTGCGTCTTACCTTGCAAGTTAACTTTATAGGAGAGTTCTTCAATATTTCCAAAGCTGCTGTGTTTTATCTGGCAGATATAAACTACCCCTTCCTCATCATTCGTCATTAGAAACTCAGTCTGGCTCCAGACACTGAAATAGTCAATTTCACAAGGGAAAGGTCCAAACTGGGTCACCTCCTTAACCAGCTTTCCATTTCGAAACCAAGTCAAAGTGATATCTTTTGGGTAAAATTTCTCTACTACGCAGCTCAGGATGAGCTTCTCCCCGACCGCAGGAGTCTGAGGCCAGGTAGTGATGTAAAAGCTTGCTGGACGAGCTGAAAGGAAGACAGAGAGAGTGCTTAGGGAATTCTTGTAAAAAGTTAGTGTTCAGAGTCTGGTAATGAGTTAGTGAGAAAAGATCTACCAAGGGGGAGAGCTTTTACCGGTGACATTCAGTGTGGTGCTCATCCATTTAACACTCTTCAGTGCGCTGTGCTCAACACTGCATTCAAACACTGCCCCATCATCCTGGATGGTGGGTATGTAGGTCAGACAGGAGGGGACACTGAAGAACTTGCCATAGGTTTCCAGAGGCTGCTTTGCCTTGTCTGTAATATCTTCTCTAGGACCTAGAAGAAAAGAGGTTTCCCCGGCAGCTTCACTTGATGCCATCTGGGGGGTTCTCCGGTGCCATTTCACACTAATTGCTTTTGGTCTAAACCCATTTATGTTGCACATCAGCTTCAGCTTCTCATTAATGGGGATCACATCTGGTTTGTTAATCAAGGAAACCTGAGGCGGCACTGAAAAGAAGATAAATCCAGGATGTAGACATCTCTGCGAGAGGCTGACATTGCAGAACTAAGGGTCCTTCCACAGGAGGAGTAAAATCCTGGACCCCGTGAAACCAACACATTAGGTCTTTTGTAGGCATGTGCCCTAAGGGTAGCTGCAGAGAGTCCTGTCCTGGACTTTTTGGGGGGGGAGCCTGCTTTGTCATCACTCTTGTCCAGAGACAACCAGGACCTCCTCCACCCAACAGCCCTTTGCAACAAGATGAGTTTAGGGGCCCAGTCCTCTTTCACTTGCTGAAACTCACCCTTTCTAACTAATTAAACTCTTCTCACCCTTCCAGGACTGACAAGTGTTATGACTAAAAACCACTTAAACCTTGTGTTCCAACCTCTACAGCTGATCTCCTGGCATTGCTAAAACCCTCTTGCATCCCTCTAATGACTGGATTCGTTTAGACTAAATTAGTCCATGACAGACAGTTTAGGGAAATGTCATCAATCCAGCCATGATGCAGGCAAATAATCTAGTTTATCTACTATTGGTGCCTGTCATGATTATGAGGGTTAGCCAGCAGCCTGGGGATTAAGGGGTTAACTACACCTAGCCAGGTGGAGTGACCAATAAGAATGTAGGTGGGACTTTTCAAACTGGGACAAAGGAATTTGGTTTTTTTTTCTCTCTTGTCCCTTTTGTCTCTCTGAAAGAGTTCTCTGCAGCTACAGAGAGGGACAAGCATGTCTCTCTCTCTCCAAGACATCATTCTTCATTTTCTGTAAGTAGGGTAAAGTTTAGGTAGTTTCGTTAGGTTTTATTGTGTTATGGATTGGGTATGGGATCTGAGATCTGGCACTGCTTAAAAGATGTTTTGGCTTTTCTTTGTAACTAAGTTCTAGGCCCATGGAGTTTCTCCATGAGTATATTTTGTTACCTTCCTCTCTAGTCATTATACTTGCAACCAGAATATTGTTGTAATAATAAAAGTTCTTTCTTTTCTTTTATTAACCTGGCAGTGGTTAATGGTGTGCCCTGATTTTTGTTTTAGGGGGAAGATTTCCCAAATGATCTTTCCCCTGGTTTCTTTAGCAACATTTGGGTGGTGGCAGCGGAAGTTTTATTCCCAAGATCTAGGTTTTTAAGATCTTGGGGGAAGTTTTATACCAAAGCCTGGTAGATAAGGCTTTGGGGTACACTTGCTGGCCCCCACTTCTGCATTTATCATGCCAGAGTGGGGAAGGAAAAAAATGTCCTCATGTGAAAATGTTGCAAGCAGGATGTCTCAGGTTTCATGCCATATTCAATGTTTAATATGTTTGATAATCTTGAAAAGGGGTGAGCAGAAAGAGCAAAACGTAGATCACACACAACTCTTTGAGTGACTGCACGTCAGTTCCACTGCAGTGGTATGTGTGCGTAGTTGTCAGAAGAGACTTTTCCTTGGTGATATGTTTGCATGGCACATGCACCCTCTACTGTACATGCCGCCACCCGAAGATATGAAGGGCTGACGTGCCACCTACCATCTTCAGGTCCTTCTTATGGCCTGTGACAGTTGTTAAAAAGTGTGACTTTTATTTTTTTTGCTGTTGCGGGTTTTTACCTCATGTATAGTTGGTACTTGTTTTAATAATTTCAGTAGTTTAAGCTATTTACAGAAATGAGTCTTCTTTTGAAGTGTCTGTAAACATTTTGGCTCCCATTGCTGGATGCTGGGTTATGCTTGAAGCTTCTTGGGAAGTCTCACTCCAGGGATTGTTTTCACATTTAGAGGGATTTTAGTCCAAGAACCAAGACTGACAGGGAGGCCAGGCTTCAATTTCTTGTCATGGAGGCAGCTCTGAGTCCACCCTCAGGGGTACTAGAGAGAAGTCTGGGGGGGACGTCAACAAAACTGAAATCTGGAGACAACTGAATTTGTTAAATTTTACAGCGCTTTATTATTTTTGTAATTTTTACACCCAAAAATGTCATCACCTGCCCAGCTACAATTAAGTTGTTTAAACAAATGTGTTGCAGTGGTAGAAAAAAATTGTGTGTCTGAAAACTGTAGATACCGGGGGTACTTTTGTGTGTGTGAAAAAGGGGGTACTTTATAAAAAAAAAAAAATGTTGAGACACACGGAGAGGCAGCAAAGGGGACGGAAAGAGGGAGCACTTAAAGGAACAGTGCTGAACGGAGCCTGGTAAGGGCTCTGTGCAACGCTGCTGGTTTGAAGCATGTCTCTCTCTCTCTCCAAGACATCATTCTTTATTTTCTGTAAGTAGGGTAAAGTTTAGGTAGTTTTGTTAGGTTTTATTGTGTTATGGATTGGGTATGGGATCTGATGTCTGGCACTGCTTAAAAGATGTTTTGGCTTTTCTTTGTAACTAAGTTCTAGGCCCATGGAGTTTCTCCATGAGTATATTTTGTTACCTTCCTCTCTAGTCATTATACTTGCAACCAGAATATTGTTGTAATAATAAAAGTTCTTTCTTTTCTTTTATTAACCTGGCAGTGGTTAATGGTGTGCCCTGATTTTTGTTTTAGGGGGAAGATTTCCCAAATGGTCTTTCCCCTGGTTTCTTTAGCAACATTTGGGTGGTGGCAGCGGAAGTTTTATTCCCAAGATCTAGGTTTTTAAGATCTTGGGGGAAGTTTTATACCAAAGCCTGGTAGATAAGGCTTTGGGGTACACTTGCTGGCCCCCACTTCTGCATTTATCATGCCAGAGGGGGGAGGGAGCCATGACAGTGCCTCCCAAGGAGTCTATGCACAGGCCATACAGCCAACTGAGGTGTCCTAACACGCAAAATAGCCATGAGGAAATCAGGAATACAGAAGCTAGCAACTAACTCCCTTGTTGGAGGCTCAGATTCGAATATGATATATTAATATTTTTGGGTTAGAGAAAGTTGTGACTGATTTGTAAGCCAACTTTCCTTTAACATGAGCTAAGAAGAACACTGTTTGCAGAAGCAACAAGGAGTCCTGTGGCACCTTAAAGACTAACAGATGTATTTAGGCATCCGCTTTCATGAGCAATCTGTTAGTCTTTAAGGTGCCACAGGACTCCTCCTTGATTTTGCAGCTACAGACTAACAAGGCTGCCCTTCTGAGACTTTTTGCAGAGCGTACCCTCAGCAAAGTTATTCTTAGTTGGTATTATTATCATTCCTACAGAAATGGGAGGCCTATCACAGTTAGAAGATGCTGAAGGGTAGGAATGTTTTAAAAATTACCTTTCATAAGTCGTTCCTGATAGAATATGGTAAAAAATATGCTACATGCTCCAGTTATCACAACACAGGCAGCAGCCACTCCAACGATGAACCCCGTATCCCGATGATACTGCTTTGGATCTGAAAACAAACATGCTCGTTAGAAACAATTTAAAATAATCGGATTCCACCCAAGGATCTCAAAGCATTTTACAAACAATTAATGGAGCACAACACATCTTTGTTATTAACCCCCTTTTGCATGGTCACACGCTGAGTTGTAAAGAGATCAAAGCTCTAATCAATTTTCTGTAGGCAAGACAAGGAAGCCCCTGGGAGTGGCTGGAGTCGAGCTTTGCAGCAGCATGGGGCCGGATCCCCAGCGTAGTCCATTGGAGCGCAGGGCTGGGGCTGGAGCCCTGCGGCTGCCCTAGGATGCGTGGGGCTCCAGTAGTCAGAGCCTCTGCTGCCAGGGCTGAGCAGCAGCTGAGCAAGCACCCCAGACAGGATGAGTTGGCGGGAAGGCGAGGGAAGTTGGTGGCAGGACACCTCCCCTGGTCTGGCAAATTCTCTCATTCGGGACCACTCAGGTCCTGGGGGTACCGGACCAAGGAGGTCCAACCTGTAGAATATAAAAGCTTGAAAAAAAAATTATCAAAATGATAAAGTCAAAATTAAACATTTTTACCTCATCAAAATGAAAAAGAAAGTCAAATATGATTAATTTCAACTTTTTCCTCTTGAAAATGTCATCAAACCAACCTGGCAAAATTACAACATCTGACAGAAAGCTGTGCCATGGAAAATTTGTCAGCCAGAACTATTAAGAGTCCATTCTTGGGCCACTTACTTGTGACAAATATGGTTGTATTTCCTCTCAGCGGCTTTTCTAGGGATTCATGTTGAACTTCACAGATGTACAAGGATCCATCATCCTCTTCAGACAAATCTTGGGTTACCCGACTCAGCACGGTGAACACGCCCTTTTTATCATGAGGCAGTGGGACTCCAGTGCAAATGTCCTGCGTTAACGGCCTCTCGTGTTTACTCCCATACTTCCTAACCAGCCAGGAAATGTCAATTTTTTGAGGGTAAAATTGATGAACATCACAGGAAAAAGTTTTCTCTCCCCCTGCTGTAATTTGGGGGTTTTGGGGTGACAGCAACACTGTAGGCTGAGCTGGAAAGACAGATCACAGTTATGCACAAAAAGATCCTAATTAGCACCAGACACTAATTTTGCTTTTGGGTAGAGAATTAAAATGGGGAATACAGATTTACATGGCATTAAGTGAATATGACTAGATCTGAAACACTGACCCATAGCTCCTAGGTGCTAGAACTAGTGGTGCTGGGTTAATCCCCCTGGCTTGTGGCTCAATGGCTCTTAGCACCCCCACTGTACAGATTGCTCCAGCGCCTTTAGTTAATAGATACTAGCAAAAATGTTGTTCAGAATAAAAAGGGGAATGTAAATGCACAAATGAGTGATTGCTTCACTTGGTGTGTACCTCAGTAAGAATTCCTCAGAAGAGTTTCCTTTCTTTAGAAGTTTTACTCTTACACGTTACCATGTAAACAAGCCAGACTTGTGCATTCAAGGAACAGTAAAGGGTCTAACTCTAAACTGACCACAAGGACCTGCTGATCCCCTAAGCAAGGGTATCACTTATGGGAGGCTAGGGAGGGTAGTAGCCCCTCCTCTTGAGTTTGAACCCTGTGAATTTCATAGCTGAAGTCTGCTTAAAGCTGCATGCCCTGATTTCAGACGCCATTCATAAAAGCAACAGACTGCAAGCTGCTTGCAGTTTTGTCTTTGGGGCAGAGAGTTTCTTATAAAAAGAGGGAGGCAGGGTGATTAAGAATAACTAAAGGCCAGGCATTCTAGTAATTGAAGGATTGTTAGATCATCATGAAAACATTTCTGGGTACTCCACTTAAAAGTTGGGGCAGAAAGGAGTAGGAATGAGTATTGTGCTGCTGGGATTCACATTTGGATTACCGTGTTAAGTTTACAAATGCCCTTGAAAAGGGGGTGAACAGGGACTCATCCAAAGCTGACTGCAAGGAGCTACAAAGGGATTTCACAAAATTGGGTGACGAGGCAACACAAGGGAAAATGGAAATCAGTGTTGATAAGTGCAAAGTAATGCACATGGAAAATATAATCCTAACTATAGACTCAAAATAGCTGTAACCATTCAAGAAAGAGATCTTGGAATCATTGGGGATAGTTCCTGCACATTGAACAGATGTTTTCAGTGGCCGTCTAAAAACTAAAAAGCTAACAGAATACTGGGAATCATTAGGAAAAGAACAGATAAGACAAAATACCATATTGCCTCTACATAAAGTCATTGTATGCCCACATCTTGAATACTGTATGCAGATCTGGTCAACCCATCTAAAACAGATGTCCTGGATTTGGAAAAGGTACAGAAAGGGCAACAGAAATGATACGGGGTAAGGAACAGCTTCCATATGAGGAGAGATTAACAAGACTGGGACTTTTCAGCTTGGAAAAGAAATGACTAAAGGGTGGGGGGGACATAGAATCATAGAATCCTAAGGCTGGAAGAGAGCTCAGGAGGTCATCAAGTCCAGCCCCCTCCCCAAAGCAAGACCACCCACAGCTAAATCATCCCAGCTGGGGCTTTGTCAAGCCAGGACTTAAAAACCTCTAGGGATGGAAAGACCATCACCTCCCTAGGTAACCCATTTCAGTACTTCACCACCCTCCTAGTATTAGACATTAGACATGTTCAGTGCTTTTTTTTTTTTGTAAGAAAAAAGGTGCCAGTACTCCAGGCTCAAAGTTATTGAGCTAAAAAAAACCCCAAGAACCCATGCTGGGGGCCGAAATGCGGTCATGGCCCCTTTAAGAGCCACGTGTCCCGGGCATGCTTCCGTCTGGAGCCAAGCCACCCCAGGAAACAGGAAATAGGTGCCAGTATGCCAGGGGGGAATCTTATTCAATTCAGTTAAGATGATAAAATAGGTGCTGGTACCTGTCCTGGAGCGAACCGTTACAAAAAAAAGCCCTGGACATGTTAGAGGTCTAGAAATCAGGAATGTCATGGAAAAATAGAATAAGGAAATGTCATTTATTCCTTCGCTAACATAACACAAGAAGCTGACCCAATTCAATTTATAGGCAGCAGATTTAAAACAAACAAAATCAATTTTTTCCCACAATCAACTTGTGGAACTCTTTGCCAGGAGATGGTAGAAAAGCCCAATAAGAACAAAAGAAGTTCAAGGGGGAGAGGTCCAGCAATGGCTACTAAGCCAGAATGGGCAGGGATGGTGTCCCTGGCTTCTGTTTGCCGGAAGCTGGGAATGGGTGGTAGGGGATGAATCATGATGATCGCCTCTTCTGTTTATTCCCTCTGATGCCACTGTTGGAAGACAGGATACTGGGATAGAAGGACCTTTGGTCTGACCCAGTATGGCCATTCTGATGTTCAGGGCTCGACAACTAATGCAATCTACTTGCCTGTGACGAGTAGATTGCAACCCAGAAGATTGCAAGCCGGACAGCGCGACTGGCGAGTGGGGCTCGCCGCGGTTCGGAGAGCCCTGCTGATGTTCTTAAATAGTGCTGAAATGTATCTGTCCCCTTGCTGTAACCCACTAGACCTCACTTCCCTTCCAGAGATGAGATAGAGCCCAGGAGTTATGATGGGGTCTCTCTCTCTCTCTCTCCACGGAGTTAGTAACAAAATAAGAATATACATTAAAATGTTAAGGTTAACCAGTGTCCCTTAAGTGACCTGCCACAGGATGTGAGAATATGTTAGTGTTTAGAACTGAGTGGGTCTAATATTTATTTGTTTCTTTTATATAGGGATTAGATACAGTGCTCCTGTCAGCTAACTACTACATTGTCTGCCAAAAAAAGTAGAATTTCCCAGTACATTGGTAGCCCCTGGATAGAGATGATGCGTGGGTGGGGGGGGAAGAGAGCAGATGGGCTTGGTTTCCCCCCTTCCCATTTGGTGCTTGGCTTGTACTGAGCATTGTCCCCCGCCCGCCCCCCCCCCCCCCATGCTTTCAATCTTTCCCCCACATCACAGCATGCACAGGTCGTGCCCTCCCCATCAAAATCTGAAATGGTGCCTGCCCCTAAGGAACACTTACTGCAATTATCTTCAAGCAAGTGCCTAAAAAGAATTCAACACCGTCAGTGGAGAATGAACAGCTGGCTGTAGGCAATGGCAAGGAAAATTACAGGGATTTGCTTAATGTTCAGTGCTCCTATTGCAAAAAAGTCACTTCCTATCCAGTGGTTAGTGCAAGCTGGGGATAGGAAATCAGTCCTCTCTGTTCTAGTCCCAGTTCTATCATGGGTTCACTGTGTGACTCTGGACAGGTCAGTTTTCTCTATAGCTCAGTTTCTCCCACCCATAAAATGAGTTTATTCATACAATATACTCCCATTTATCTGACACCTTCTTGTCCCAATTCCCTGACTTGATAGTTTATGAAACAAGTTGCAATTCCTGAAGATGAAAATGCTCTAATGCTACAATAACATTACTGTTACATTACATCACAGCATCAAGTCTTAATTTTAGACTGGTTTCAAAGTTACACGTTGGCTGCAAATTATTTCTCTTTTATAGCTAACAGTTCTGAATACCTCTAACTTGGAGCCGGACTGTTCCACTTCCATATTGTGGCGATATCAAAACCGTACATGTGTAGACCCCTTCGTCATCTACTGTCACATTATGCAGGTTCAGGGATGCACTGCCCTGGGTCAGTAATTCAGGATTCACCAAGACCCCCTTCCGGTGATATAACGTATGCTTTCCATCAAACTGGTACACTGGCTTCTCTCCAAATTCATTGTTTAAGGTCCATTTCACTGCCACATCCTCCAACTGGACACTCTTCCAGATTGTAAAATTACAATGCAACTCAATGTGTTTGTCCACTAGACAGAAGACCGGAGAAGGACTGGTCTTGATTTCCAATGTAGCTAAAAATAAAACAAATGAACATACAATTGGCATTGACTAACAGTCTCAGCAACAGCAAAGGGAGCAAAAGGATTATACAGACTCAATTCTCTCTCCGAGTCCTAACTAAAGGCCTGTCTAGGATCAGGGTGGAGACACATCACTGTATTGGGGTGGGGACATTTGTACTTCCAGGATTGTACCTGTCCTATGGATAAATCAAAGCCTTCAGACACGTATCCTAGGGAAATTAATGCTTTCAGGAACTGGGTCCTATAAGAACATAGAACATAAGAATGGCCATAGAGTCAGGGCAATTATCCATCTAGCCCAGAAGCCCCTTTTTTTTAAACAAAGGCCAGAGCCAGATGCTTCAGAGAGAATGAACAGAACAGGGCAATTTCAATGATCCATCTCTTGTCTTTCAGTTCCAGCTTCTAGCAGTTAGAGGTTTAGGGACACTGGGAGCATCAGGCTGCATCCCTGACTATTTTGGCTAATAGCCATAGTTCATAACCATGAACTTATCGAATTTTTTTCAGACCAGTTATTATTTTGGCCTTCACAACATCCCCTGCAACGAGTTCCATACTTTTTCTGTGCATTATGTGAAAAAATACTTCCTTTTGTTTGTTTTAAATCTGCTGCCTATTAATTATAAAATTACTCCTAATTCTTGTGTTATGTGATGGGGTAAATAACACTTCCCTATTCACTTTCTCCACGCCAGGCATGATTTTTACAGACTGTATTATATTCCCTGCCAAGCTGAATTGTCCCAGTCTTTTGAATCTCTCCCAGAGAAGTTGTTCTCTACTCCTAATCATTCTTAGAACCACAGAATCCTAGAACTGGAAGGGACCTCAAGAGGTCATCGAGTCCAGTCCCCTGCCCTTATGGCAGGACCAAGCATGGTGTAGAATATAGATCATCGCTGACAGGTGTCTGTCTAACCTTCTCTTAAATATCTCCAGTGATGGAGATTCCACAACCTCCCTGGGCAATTTATTCCAGCACTTAACCACCCTGACAGTTAGGAAGTTTTTCCTAAAGTCCCACCTAAACCTCCCTTGCTGCAGTTTAAGTTCTTTTTGCTCTTCTCTGTACATTTCCTAACACTAATATATCTTTTTTTTTAGATGAGGCAACCAGTAGATTGATGCTTTTCAGCACCAAATATTTCATTGTTTACTCAATGGGACAGGGGTAACATAAAAATCACACATCTGTTTAAAATGTATTTACTTACCTTTGTTACAAGTAACACCTGAAAAGGATTAGAGAAGGGAATAGGATTCATTTTTTTGTTTGTTTGTTTGTTTGTTCCATGCCTTTGGCAGCACATGAAGCCAGCCACAGGTCTCAAACCTGCAATCAGATCAGCTAACAAAGATGTCAGCATCTATGCACAGCCCCATTGAAGTCAATGGGGTATTGCATAGGAGTAGGATTCATGCCAGCTGAAAGAAATGCTGAATCATGATCTTAGAGTTTCCTTTGTGAGTCTAGAAAATGTCATTGTAAGAAATCACAATCCAGACTCAAGAGATCAAGACCTGAAACAATGTTTATTTGTTAAGCTGACTAGAATTCAAGCTAATGGTTGTCCTGTTTGCTGTTCTAAGCCATTGTCATGCAGTTCTGTCTGTAGAACATCTATTTCCAATGTGTAAAAGATCTGCTATGGATAGGGTTGCCAGGTGTCCGGTATTGTACCAGACAGTCTGGTATTTGCACGCTCTGTCCGGTTTTAAAAAAGATTTTTCTGGCTGCACACCAGATGGAAGTCTGGCATGGGTGGGAGTCCCAGCTGGGAGGTGGGATCACAATTGCCACCAGGAGCCCTCAGTTGGTTGAATTTAAGGAGGAGGGAAAGCCTCCTCCTCACTCGTGCGTCACCAGGAGCCTGCGTGGGACAGGCAGCAAGTGCCCGGGTCAGTCCTGCTTCCCGCCGGCCGATTTGCTCACACCCCCCCCCTTCCTGGCCAGCCGGTTCTCTCCCACTTCCCCTCCTGATCTTCCCTGGCCAGCCCCCCTGCATCCCCTCCCAGCTCTGCTTCCTGCCGGCCTGTTCCTCTTCCTGATCTCCCCTGGCCAGCGCCGCTGCACCCCTGCCAGCTCTGCTTCCCACTGGCCCGCTCCTCTTCCTGATCTCCCCTGGCCAGTGCCACTGCAGCCC